GAAAGGGCTGCCGGGAGTAAATCTCTGCTGCAAGGCTGCTCTGGCTTAAGCCGATCAAAATGACCTTGCACAAGCAGAGGCCCAGGAGCCAGCCACAGTCCCCCTAGAAGTGCCCACTCCCCTTTCCTTCTAAGTGTGTGGCCCCTGCCTCACACCGATGGCAGGAAACAGCAAATTGTCCAATGGTTGCAGTGAAGGAGTCAAAGGAGCAGAGGAGCAGAAGCCAGGGAAGGAAGGGGCTCGTGAAATTTACCTTTGAATGAGCAACAGAATGCAAAGTGAATGCAAAGGACCTCCAGGTGCGCTTGCTCTTGGTGAGCCACAGACCACAGCCAGGTGCAGCCCTTGGGGAAGCATCCAGGTGGCTTTTCCTGAATGTCATCTAAGAGGTCCCCATCAGCATCCAGGCCCTCTGATCACTTCAGCTGATTTGCTTTTCCTCTGGGGTTTCTAGAGAGCTGGTTGAATGTGATGGCCAAGCAAGCCAGACACCCAGCGACAGAAGGGGATGAGGCCATGACCGCCTTCTGCACTCTTTAGATCCCTGTGGTCCAGGAAGAGGAACCCTCGTGGACAGCCCAGAAAACCTGGGTGCGGGCCTGCCTATGGCACTAGTTCTATAGTCTTGGGCTCTGCCGACTTCCTGGCCAACGCTGTCCACTGCTTCTGCACACACCACGGCTGCGTGCTCTCGCTCCTTCTCGCCCCCGGAAGTCCTGCGGCTAGGAGTGGGATCATTCAATGGCATACACCGATGGCAGCCGGCCGCTCCTCTGCCCACGCTCTGCTCATTGCCTGAGTGCTGTTCATACTAAAAATTGATTTGTAGGGGCCAGCAGATGGCAAGTGGTTACGTTGCTGGAATCCCACATGGCTGGCCATGGTTTGAGTCCCCAGACCCTGTGGCATAAAAATCACACTGGGTACGTGTGCATGCCCAAGATTTTGGGAGGAGAAGGAATTGCGGCATGGCCATCCCTCCGGTAGTGATTTCTCACTTTTCTTCTCACTGTCTCTGTCACTCTCTGTACCTTAAAGCAAAAAACCTCTAAAAAATGGATTTGTATTTCTGTGGCTCTCAGACTTTATAGGCATGACAACCACCTGGAGCACTTGTTTATAGATTCTGATATAGCAGACTTCAGTGGGTTCAGAAGCCCACTGTCTTAATAAACCTTGAATGTCAGGGCCTGCAGGTGGCATGGTGGTCAAGGGTGCTGGACTTCCACATGGCTGACTGTAGTTCAAGTCCTGGACCTAGCAGCTTGCTCTCTCACTTTCTCTCTCTCTCTCTTTCTCTCTGTCACTCTAAAATAAGCAAATAACTGAAGTTAAATAAAAATAATTATTAAAAAAAAGAAGTTCTCGGGACCAGCAGTTGGCGTAATGGCTATGTCACTGGGCTCCCATGTAGTCGACCACGGTTCAAGTCCTGGACCCAGTGGCTTAAACTCACACCGGGCACGTGTGCGTGCGTGCCCAAGATCCCAAGAGGAGAATGGAGGAGAAGGGATTGCAACATAGCCATCCCTCCCGGGGAGGTGATTTCTTGCTTTCTATCTCTCTGTCTCTCTCTTTCTGGCGAGCGCACACGCCCTATAGTGAAAACCTCTCCAAAAA